CTGTAGTCTGTAGGGTTCAGTAAAGTTCAAAGCCACTGGCTAATGCAGCAGCTATCTTCTAACCTGCTCTTCTAATGCAGCCACTGCCTTTTTCTGTTTTTTTTTTTAAACTTGACCAACTTTTCTTATACCTTGCACTGTTTTTTACATCTGGGTCATTCTACGACAACTCTCCTAGGGCTTGGTAGGTTATGTATTCTTGAAGGACATAGAACTAGGTTTTGGAAAATACTGTATCAACTTTTAGCTTTTTTTAAAGTAATTTTGATATAGTTTCAAATATTGCATGCAGAAATGAAAAAGTCATAGTTTTGATAGAAATGTAGGAGCTCAGTATTGATATTGGTATTAAGCCAATACTAGCAGATATGCTGACTTGGACATAAAAGAATGAATTTGATCCAATCTGATAACAAATCTGCCCTGAAACGGCACACGCTCACACTGTGTGACGTGATGTTGTTAGCTATGTATTTTTTCCTGTGGGCTAGTAGTTTCACTATGACATCCTTTTATATGATGTTATAAATAGCTAATTTCTAATCTTAGAAAAAATTTAGATTGGATATTGGTATAGGTCAACATTCAAGATTTAAATATTGGCATCAGATAAGAAAAATGCTATTGAACAATCTCCTCAAAGATTACTGCGTAAAACCAAATAATGCAAAAAAAGAACATTAATATTAATTTTAACAATTAATATCAAAGAAATTAATCTGATGTGCCCTGTAATAAATTGTGAATTACTTTATGTGGTAGAATGAGAATCAAAATGAGAACATGAATTAGTTTATTTGGCAACAAATTAAGCCAACAAACACAAATTTGACTCAAATAAATACTTTGAATGAAACCAGTGCCATGCAAAATAAATATGTTACAATTATGCAACAGTTATTCAACATTATCAGTAATGTTGACAATAAAAAATCTGCAATTTTTCTGTTACATTTTCAAAGTGATGTCCAACCTAGAGTGAGTTAACAATTTAACCTGAAGAGGGCAGCAATTCATTTGTAGTTTTATGACCATATTTAGCAGATAGCAAAAGAAAAAGAACAATTATGACCGAAAGTTAAAAATTAAGTAACGCCTGGGAGCATTTTCTTAAAATGTTGGATGAAGTAATTACATACAGCATATGCAAATCTGACTTCCACTAAAGCACAGCATTACCTGTGATCTCCGGAAAACAAAACATGCCGGTGTTGATTCTGAAGCAGCAGAACGGTCCTTCAGTGTTAACTTTCCCTCTATGCCTGTAGAGTGCAGTGTGCAGTTTGCACTGTAAGGGATGTATCAAAATGAATTAACTTTAACCTTACAAACATCACTAAAGCTCATCATGTTATATTACTAACATTAATCACTGAAATATTTTGAGCCATATCGGTTTTTGTCCTGTCAGCATTACGTACATTAGCTAGCTAACTATGTACAACTAGTTAACACAACTCATTTTGTAAGCATAGTTTTTACATCCGCTCCTCCTGGAAACCTATTCACACACAGCTCGTCTAGTGAACTAGCTTGCTATGTTATAAATGTTATTATTACATAACTTATTTTGAGCTATTGCTTATTACTCACTGTAGCTCAAAAGTCTGAGCTGTGGTGAATGGTATCTTAGTTTGTTAAAACATTGCTAAACATTCTGTTAGAGCTTGTCACATTTACAGGCCATATTTAAGCTGAAAAATCGATTATTAGTTGATTCATTCACATGAGTAATCAACTAAAAAAAGTGTTTTACATCAACTAAAACTTCAAAAATACTTTAAATCAACTTCTGCTCTGTTCCACTCTTTACAGTGTAGAAAGTTATTAACATGAAACAAGTTTAAAAAGGTATTTCTTATAACATTTTACAATATTATTTCTTAGTAATTATATTTATACACAGTTACAATTTCAGATGATTTCAGCCATTGTAAGCAGTTTAATTTGGAACCCTGATAATATTTTAATAGTTGCAAAATATTTAAAAATGTATAACTACAGAAATGTTTGGAGCACAGTTTTGAAATTTTGCATGGTTGCATGAAATAAGTAGATGTTTTCGTGATTTCTTTTCATGGAAATCCATGACATCACCTTCCAGGCTATAGGTGAGTAGGTTTGGGATAACCCCTCTGCCTATTCTGAGAAGCTTTTATGATGTACATACTGAAAACCTTGTCATTCTGTGTGTCTGTATGTGTGTGTGTGTGTGTGTGTGTGCAGGTGTGGCTTCATTACACCCACACACACACACACATACATGGATAATGACACCCTCACTGCCATTCGTGGCTCATAATTAGTGAGTAGACATGTGCAGACTTTTAAAGATAGGTATTCTGAAGGGCTGTGCAGGCCATACCTGCCATTTTCTGGGAATAGCCCTGGACAGAGGAAGGATAGATTTAAGTTTAGACCAAAGTTCTTCTATTCACTGACCATGCTCATAAGAGACACATGTTGGAGACAGTGGGAGCAGTACCTATAATCATAGCAAGCACAGCAGTAGAGTAAAAAGTCCTTTATCATTGTGATATTTGAATAAAACTTTAAAAGTCATTCAAAAAAGTTTGTTATTAGCATTGCCAGTTGAGTGAGTGTGTATCAATGATTGAATATGGTGTTGGGAATGTATTTATACTATGGCAAAGACATATGAATGAAACAACAGCTGCTAAAACGTTACTCTCCTTCCAGTCAGTCCAGTTCAGCAGCTTTATCTTTGAGAGAAAGCTGACAGCTATACATCCGTGCCAGATCCTAATCTTCAAAATCCACCAAAACAAGTCATTGCCTCTTGTACCTTACAGAAGCAACAGACAGTGAAGAATGTTGTTCTGCTACTGTGTTATCTCATGCCTTAGTCTCACTGAATATTTCTGTGCTCCACCTTTAAAAATGAGAAATTGGCCTGTTCCAGAATTTCCTCTAGATCAGATTAAACATGTATCATCCTAATCATCCATCACAATTCAATAAGGCGTGTGGCCACTCTTCCTTTTCCACTGGTACCGTGGATTCAGTTCAGCAGAATTGTGCTCTGACTTAGACGTGCTCCGTCCATTGTGCTCTTATCATTGGCCTTGTAGAGAGTATATTATATAAAAAACATTTTCCAACCTAATCTCTATTCACTGCATCTGAGGTTTGTGGTGGTTTACCATCGACTTGAAATGAATGTGCAGTTGCTAAATTCCAACAGTGACCATGTTAGTGATACACCTGAGACAGAATTTTTTTTGCTGTTTTGCTTCAATGTTTGAAAGTTGGATAAACCGAAATTCAGTTTTCAACAAGAGAGAACATTTCGTCTTCCAAGACAATAAAACTTGCACTTTTGCACTGTTGTTTGTGCATTTGTTTATCTCAAAAACTGGACTTTTCTTTCTATTGTGCTTTCCATATGGAGCAGAGTGTTAGGTTGGTAGGGTGGTATCAAATGTGTAGTAGAGAAGTTTGTGGGTGTTATGTCCTTTCTTGATACTTGACATGAACAGGAACGAACTTCTCCTTTGTCTGATGTCCGTCGTGAAAATGGCCGATGTGTTCGCTGTTGATTGCTGCCGCTCAGACTGTTTGAACGTGTGTGTGCTAACCAGCGCAGGAAACCGAAGAGAACAGTGTTTTTTAATAACTGTTATTTGATTACCTTTACAATTATTTGTAAAGTCTTAATCTTTGTTTTTTCAGTCCAACTTTTAAACTTTTTTTGCCATTTTTTGCTGAAAATAATGATTGCTAGTTTGGCCAATAGTAGGCAATTGCCTAGGGCAGCAACTTGCCAGAGGTGTCACCAGCTCTCTTAAAATCATGTGGTGTGTCTGTTAACGCCCCCCCATTAAAAAGTGCTACTGACTGGTTCCCATCCCCCACTCTTAAACAGCACGTTCTTACACAATGCAGGTGCAAATCATCATAAAAGCTGTAAAAAAAAACAAATCTGTGGACCCTCCCAGTGACTCTCTTCTCAATCAAAAACGCAGGTGTACAGTGTATAGTTTTTCTGAGAAAACACCCCAAAATTTTTATCTGTGGTAATTGTCTGTGACAGATGCAGCAGACAGAGGTTAGCCTGAAATCGCTGGATTATTCTTTTAACCATGGTGATCATTGTCCAGAACAGATATGCACAGTACTGTCTTTGCTCTCCCTCACAATCTGAGCATGAATGTTGCACCCCCCCCCCATGTTTGTGGTTGCCTGCTGGCCAGGGCTAAGAGTTTAAGATTTAAAGCAAGACAGTGTGACAGGGATTTGCCTCAGCTGCCAGGCTTTGGCAGCCGTTTTTAAGAAACGCATGCTCTCTGAGTGCATACTTCTCTAATCTCTTCTGAGAGTGTGTCACTCTGATAGAAAGGCATGCAGCCCTCTCCCACTAAATCAAGCGTTTTTTACTGATTATGTTGCGGAGATGGGTCCAAGAGTTGTGTTTGCAGAAACGATAAGAAGACAAAAAAAGAACGAACAAAAGATAAAACAAACATGCTAATAGAGCAAGCCATGAGTTTGGTTGTTGTTTCCAGAAACCACAGCCCATATAAAAGCTTGTGTTCCCTCACTGCGATTGCTTACAGTCTTTGCCATGAATGAGGTAAATGTTGTTTTGGGAAAAAAGACTCATTGGCCTTTGTGACATCCCTGGAAAGTCTTCAATGCATCAAGCAATAAAGAGCTAACAAGCCACTTTTAAGGCTTTGTTTCTGTTTTGTTTCAGGTTTTACAGCCTTTTTTCCAATCGCAGGAGGGATAGCCTTGGCTCAGATGCGCACTGACCCATGCTTGGCCCATAATTTGGGTCAATGCCTTTCAGAGGGTGTGTTCACCTCACTAGTTAATCTCCAAGGACTGGAGGCTTTTTACAAAACCGCTCTTGCTTTATAGCTCCTTGATTTATGGAAACAAATTCATAAACTACACATAACTGTTGTTTACTGCCCTTCCTGTGAACTTTTTGTTCTTCATTTTAACTTCTGACCTCCTCTCGCACTACCTTGCAGGTCTCAGAAGGTTAACTCTGCCGTCCTCGCCATGGAGACGACCCCGGCCCTCCTCCCACTCCTCCTCCTCTTCCTGAGTTTGTGTGTCTGCGGTTGTCATGGCAACCTCCGCCCGACCCCCAGAGTGTATCTGTCTTACAAAGGTGAACATGGTTTATATTTATCATCCTGCATGAGATAGTCTGTGTATTTCACTCATTTATTATTATTATTATTGTTATTATTATTATTATTATTGTCAGAGTGTTTCAGTAGTTTGAGCATGGTGGCAGACTTGCTCATCTCAATAGTCTTGGGCCGATAATTGATATTATTGAATATTATGAATGTTTAAATTAGTGCTGATATTATGCAAATTAAGGGTCTTTCCTTCTCTTTCACCTGCCATGTGATTTTTTTTTATTGCTTCGCCCTTTTGTACAATCATTTAAGTCTACGGTTAGTTCAAAATGTGTATAATAAAAAAACAAGATTCTAGGGGAATTCCATCATGTTTTCAAAATTGCTGCTTAATTGAATGGTTAGGATGTAAACAAATTCATTCATGAAGTTTTTGATGAAATGCTCCATTCCTAAGAAACTGTACAGTGTCAGAATTTTTCACAGTGTTGTGTGAGGAACAAGACATCCGAAGCATTTGATACCTCTAAAAAGCTGCCTTACAGAAGGTTACTGCATAAAAGTGGTTATAGATACAATGAGTGATGCCTGAGTCATTGTTTTATGGCCATAAATGTATTTTTTTAAATTTATTCATGGCAGAGAGGTGCATGCAGGGCATTGTAAAATAGTCCCCAAAGAAAAGTTTTTTTTTCAGATTTACTTCTATTTCACCATCATCAACAGAACATCTAAAGCGTACAGATGAATAAAAACACAGGTTCAGGTATTGTCAATAATTGTCAGTTACATTACTGCAGCTAACTAAATTAAACTAAAACTAAAAGATTTTTCTGATGAATCTGCATGAAGGAGAATTTCATAGATTTTTTTATTAAGCAGTCATTCAGAGTGCTTTGATGTGAAATAGTTTGTTGTAGAGAAAATTACTGACTCAGATTTCTTTACCGTGATGGTAAAAGGAACCAGGAGTTGCAATGCAGTAAATTTTATTCCCCATTAATTAATTTAAAAAAATACATGCTTTAGGTCAAAGCTTTTTCTCAAAACTATCAATGTCTCTGGCATTAGGCACCATATCTGTAACCATTTCATGTAATGACTTTCTGTGAGGGAGATTTTAGTGGCATTAAACTCTTAAGGTGTCTTGTTCACTACCGCTTTGAACAATTCTGGTAATTCTTTCTAGAACAGACCTCTTCACGTCAAACCGCTCTGAATGACATTATTTACATCTTGTTTGCTATTATATAATAATTTTACATAAATAATTTTGAAAAATTGGTGGAATTACTCTTTAAAATCATAAATGCTTGAATATGTTTATATTTATGGAAAATTGAAGCTGTAAAATATAAAAATCTATTCCTGGATTTATTTAAAGGAAATGTTCAGTGATGTTAATGTAATAGATTTCAGAGTTTTTGCTATATGGCAGCTTTACCCCCCTCTATATTCACTACACGCTGCCTCTATCTCTCGCTCTTTCTAGCACCAGCACGCCTCATCACCCAATTAATGCTCTAGAGAAATGACTACCCATCATCCTCTCTGTGTGCTGACATGTCACTGTGGGGCACAAAGAGAGTCATGCAGAGAGAGCGGCCGTTTGATGTTTAAAAACTCGAATCTCTCTCACAATAGCTTTAGAGTGTGCCATTATAGCATGTTTGTACAGAGAGGTGTGAAATAGCAGCGTTGCTGAAAAGATTCTGTTTCATTGTTTTATGCAGTGAAACGATGTTAGCTGAAGCTAAATACAGACACATTTCTAAGCGTCTGACACCAGCTCGTCATCCAGCCGGACACAATGTGACAGGAATCGGCTCTTAGTTCTGCGAAACAATAACACACACACACACACACACACACTGTACCCAGCTCAGTGTGTATTTCACTCCATGACGTTTTGATCAAATGTCTCTGTGACAAAGACACACATACACACACACACACACGCGCGCGCGCTTTCAGTCGCCACAGGGGATTTGCGTACAGGACCTGCTGGCTCTGTGCCAGTGGCCTAACGTGGCATCCCACTCTCAGGATGCTGGCCTTTAACATGTAACCCGAGCCCAGCAGAGAGAGGGAAAAGACAGAGAGAGAGAGAGAGGAGGACAGGTTAACGAGGGAGAGAAAGGGAGGAAAGTCATGTTTTATTTGTGAGAGGCAGGCTGAATTTGAAGAATTCAGAAAAAAAGAGAGAATATGGGGCAGAGCAGCATGAAACTGTGGAATAAATTGGATGGGTAGAGACAGGACCAGAGGTGAAGGAGAGAGAAGGAGAAAGAAAAGGAAAGAGATGGGGAGGGAGAGAAAGAAATGGAGATAGAGATGGAGAGAGAGAAGGAAAGAGAGGGAGAGAAATAAAGAAGAGAGAAAGAAAAGGTGAGAAAGAGAAAGAAAAGGTGAGAGAGATGGAGAGACAGAGAGAAAGACATGGAGAAAGAGGAGAAAAGGAGAGAGGTGGAGAGAGAAAGGGAGAGAGAAAGAAGGGACGAGAGAAAGAGGGAGAGATAAAGAAAGGTAGAGATAGAGAGAAGGACAGAGAAGAAATAGCGAGAGAGAAATGAAAAGAGAAAGAAAGTGAGAATGAGAGAGCGAGATGAGAGAAAGAAAGAGAAAGAGATGGAGAGACAAAGAAAGGGAAGAAGACAGGGGGAGAGGTAAAAAGAAAGGGCAAGAAAAAGAAAGAGAAATAAACTGAGAAATGAACAAAGATTCGGAGAGAAACAGAGAATGAAAAAGAGAGAGAACAGAAAGAAAAGATAAATATGGAAGAGGGAATAACTGAGAGGAATGAAGCAGAAGAGTGATGAGCAGCCCAGAGAAGAGACAGATGAAGGATGTTTTAGGTGGGGAAAAGAACAGGGACGGGGTGTGTTTGGGCAGAGGAGACTAGTGTGGGTGTGTACATGTGTGTAAGAGAGAGAGCGTGTGTGTGTGTGTATGTGTGCGCACGCACTAGGGCTGCACAATATGGACACATTGTTCTCATACTGCGGTTATATTGCTGCACACTGAGACTGCAATAGGCCTTGCAGTATATTAACAACACACTGATGAACCCTTGATGTGATTTGATTAAAGGCTGTTGAGCATTATAATTTGACTAAAATGATTTACATTGACTGGAACACGTGAATTCAATTTTGATTCATCCACAGCCCCACACACTGGAAAAAATATTTTTTAACCCAAGTTCATGTGGTAACAGGCAGTTTAATGGGTTTAATTAAATTAAATTGAATTACTAATAACAGTTTAGATGAACAAAAGGCTGTTCTTCAACAGTCAAAATCTTAAACACTTCGTCAGCCTGTTCCTTTTTTTTTACACTGCTTAATTTTTTAGACCAATTTCAACCCCTGATTTGCCCCTTCCAACAAATTTTGACAAGTGAATTTCCAGGTTGTCAAGTGATGCCAGTGATGAACTGGTAGTGTGAGACTGGAAACAAGTCCATCTTTAGCCTTCCAATTGAGCTCCAGAGTGATTCCTTCAAATATTTTCAAACATTTTTGATTTTTACAACTGAAAACATGCACTGTTTATTATTATTATTATTATTATTATTATTATTACATACTAAGGCTTATTATTCAGTAACTACAAGGATGTCAATGCAAACTAGTTAAGCTGTTCTTAGGTTATAGAATTGTGTAATTTTGGACAAGCCGGTGGGCCCTGGCCATTTAAGGGGTCAAGTAAAAGTTATTAATTTGTAGGAGATTAGATAGAAGATATTCCACTTACGTAAGGAAGAAAAAAGTTTAAGGAAAATAAATAATGGGTCTGAAAGGATGCGTAGCTGTCAAGAAGCCATTATTCAGAAAAGGAAACAGATATATAAGCAAAAAATTGTAAATTAAACATCGAAGCTGCTGTAGAACAATGGACTGACCACCTCAGAGTCCAGACCTCAACATCACTGACAGTGTTTGGGATTACTTGGATTGTGAAAAGTAGAAAATATAACCAACCTCTAAGACTGAACTTAAGAGATGTGGAAACATATCCCTGCAGATTTATTTGAAAAATTGAAAGCAATTCTCCTGAAATGAAAGAAGTCTGTAAAAAAGGCAAAGGGTGCACACACTAAACACAGAAAAAAATGATGTTACATAGTTGTTGACATTTATGTCTTATTTTCTGTTTTAAATGTTTCTGCTTCTTTTCTGATTCTGTAAAATGAATAACGTGTAGTTAATGGTTGTTTTAAATACATGAAAGGTGGTCTGTGACTTTTTGCATTGTACTGAATAAGTGATTCAGACAATAGCCAGTGAGACAGCTAGTATAGGGGACAAAAAGGCAGGAGGCACATATGCTCTGTGCGTGTATAGTGGACCACAAGATGGAGGAACTGCTTGTTGAACTTTGGCAGATGTGAGAATGCCTTTATAATGTTTATAATATATGGAGCAGAACTCACTTTACAATTTCAAGTGAGTTTACTAGTTTGTAGTAAAAATCAGCTCTCCCTGAAGAATGAAATTATATCTATGTTATCCAACAACATATTTATCCACAATGTGCGGTTTTCCTTTCCAGTATGTGTATAAAAGCAAAAACACGTCGGTTCAGTTTTAATCTTTGTTTGCGTCACGTGATAATGGCAGGATTTTGAGTTTTTTGTACCTGTAACTTATCATTTCATAACATGAAAAAGATTTGATATCAGCCCACAATTCATATATCAGTGCATTCCTAAATATCAGTATTTTAAAGGCCAGTATCAGTGTTTATCTGTTAACGATAAACAACCGATAAATTGTGCAGCCCTAGCATGCACTATGTGTATGTGAGCTGTGTGTGAACTGTGTGTATGTGTGTGAGAGAGGGTGGTTATGAGCATAGCCTGAGTGGAGTTATTGTGTGCGTAGGTGACAGTGCAATAGATCCCTGTTCTGGGAAAGGGGCTAGGGCTTTGGGTTGCCAGGGTATTATTAGCCTGTGTGTTTGCTGTGTTTACCTCAGTCGGAGCACAGGGAAGCCCCCCAGAGCATGAGGGCCCATCGCC